GGCATTGGTGGCCAAAGGAGAAGAAAGAAAGAAACCATGGTGTGATCATTGCAAGAAGCTGTGACATACAAGGGAAACTTGCTGGAAGATCCATGGAAAGTCACCAGGAGCAGGAAAAAAGAAATTTGAGAAAGCTCTCAATACTACTGTGACTGAGACCCAACAAGAGCAAGAAGTTAATTCTGAACAACTTCCTTTCACAAAGGAACAGATAGAGCACCTACTCCAGTTTCTAGCTACCCAAAAAATATCCAACCAGGAAACACCTTCTTGTTCTTTTGCCCAAAATGGTAAAACTATATCATATTCCTGTTCTGAAAAATAAAAAAAACACCTGGATCCTTGACTCAGGTGCAACAGACGACATGACCTTTATTCCAAATTCCTATTCTTCATATAAACCTTGTGCAGGGGATAAAAAAGTCAAAATTGCAGATGGCTCTTTTTCAGCCATTGCAGGGATGGGAAATGTCAAGATTTCCTCATCTATTAGCCTTTCTAAAGTCCTACATGTTCCAAAACTTTCTTGTAACCTTGTCTTTGTTAGCAAGTTAACCAAAGACCTCCAGTGCTCTGTTAAATTTTATCCATCTTATTGCATTTTTCAGGATCTGGCATCAGGGAGGATGATTGGCAGTGCTAGAGAGGAAGATGGACTCTATATCTTTGATGAAGGGAGTGAATTAAATAAAGAAGGTCGAAGGAAAAACTTGTCTGAAAACTATTTCTTTTCCTTGTAATAATGAGGTGTATTTAATGTATTATAGATTAGGTCATCCTAGTTTTTATTATTTGAAAAAATTGTTTCCTCAATTATTTCATAATAAAGATCGTTCATCATTTCATTGTGATATGTGTGCACTTGCAATACATCACAAGAATTCTTATATTCCTCATAGTTACAAACCAACTAGTCCTTTTACTCTTGTGCATAGTGATATTTGGGGTGCATCTAGAGTTTCTACATTACAAGGAAAGAGGTGGTTTGTAACTATCATAGATGATCATACCCGGGTAACATGGGTTTTTTTTATTAAAGAAAAAACTGAAGTTGAAGATGTGTTCAGAAAATTTTACTCAATGGTCCAAACTCAATTCAATACCAATATCAAAATGATAAGAAGTGATAATGGTCGTGAGTATTTTTCTCAAAGTTTAAATAAAGTTTTTGCTGAAAAAGGGATTGTACATCAAAGTTCTTGTATAAATACACCTGCTCAGAATGGAATAGCTGAGAGGAAAAATAGGCATTTACTGAAAGTTACTCGTGCAATCATGTTTTCAACCAAAGTTCCAAAATATTTATGGGGAGATGCTGTTTTACATGCTACCTATTTAATTAATAGGATGCCATCAAAAACTCTAGGATTTAAAACTCCTATTGACACAGTTCAAATCTGTTTTCCTAAAACCAGACTTATCAGCTCTCTTCCCTTAAAAAATTTTGGTTACATAGTATTTGTCAACAATCCTGATAAAACAGCAAGCAAGTTTGACCCTAGAGGTACAAAATGTGTTTTTCTGGGACTATCTTCAACACATAAAGGATATAAATGTTTTGATCCTACAACAAAAAGGATGTTTGTAACCATGAACACTCATTTTGTTGAGCATCAGCCTTTTTTTAGTTCTCATCTTCAGGGGGAGAATTCTAGTGAAGATGGTAACAATGTTCTACATATTCATGAAAATCTTGATTTTCTTGACATTGATCTAGATGCACATCATACTAGAAACTTAGATGCATCAGAAAATGGTCAAAAATTAGAGGAAAATGGAATAAATATAACTGAAACAAGGAAAGAAGATGAGCAGCAGACAAGTAAATTTTTTGGCAAAGTTTATGAAAGGAGAGTTCCAAATCAAAGAATAGAGGACATCTCTGATCCTGCAACTGCTCATGAATCTGACTTGATACCAGTAAATGAAAAAGGTAATAATTTCAATGATCTTAATTTGCCAATTGCTCTCAGAAAAGAGAAAAGGTCATGTTTCAGATACCCTATCTCAAACTATGTGTCTTATTCCCGGTTGTCCTTATCATTTGTAGCATTTACCTCTACTCTTTCCTCTATTGCAATTCCATTAACCATACAGGAAGCTCTATCTAAACCTGAGTGGAAGAAAGCTGTTTTGGAAGAGATGGATGCTCTTGAAAGGAATCAGACATGGTAGGTTGTAGAGTTACCCAAGAACAAGCCAACTGTGGGATGTAGATGGGTGTTTACCCCTAAGTTCAAGGCAGATGAAACACTTGAAAGACACAAGATCAGGCTAGTTGCCAAAGGATATACACTAACCTATGGCATAGACTATACTGAGACCTTTGCTCCTGTTGCATAATTAAATACTATAAGGATTCTTCTATCTTTAGCTGCTAACCTAGATTGGCCACTTCAACAGTTAAATGTGAAGAATGCCTTCTTGAATGGGAAACTTGAAGAGGAGGTGTACATGAGTCCCCCTCCTGGATTTGAGGGAAAATATGGTTCAAAGGTGTGCAGATTGGAGAAAGTCTTGTATGGACTTAAACAGTTCCCAAGGGCTTGGTTTGACAGGTTCACTCAGTTCATAAAGAGAGAGATTCCAACAAGCTCAAGCTGATCATACACTCTTTATGAAATTTTCAAGTAAGGGGGAGATTGCAATATTAATTGTTTATGTTGATGATATAATTCTTACAGGAGATTATTATAAAGAAATTGCAAGTCTGAAGGAGAAACTAGCCCAGGAATTTGAGGTCAAAGATTTGGGAGAATTAAATTACTTTTTGGGGATGGAGATAGCTAGATCAAAGAAAGGAATTGTGGTATCACAGAGGAAGTATGTGCTAGACCTTCTTCAGGAAACATGTATGAGTGCATGCAGACCAATAGATACCCCAATTGACCCTAATCAAAAGCTGGGAGATGTCAAAGAGGGAGTTCCAGTTAATGTTCAGCAATATCAAAGATTGGTGGGAAGATTGATTTATTTGGAACATACAAGACCTGACATTGCCTTTGCAGTTAGTATGGTTAGTCAGTTTATGCATAATCCATTCCAAGAACATCTTGATGCCACTTACAGAATTTTAAGGTATTTAAAAAGCTGTCCAGGGAAAGGATTATTCTTTAGAAAAAACAACAGTAGAACTGTTGAAGCCTTTACAGATGTAGACTATGCTCGTTCAATTACTGATAGAAGATCTACTTCTGGGTATTGTACCTATGTATGGGGAAATCTGGTGACTTCGAGAAGCAAGAAGCAGAATGTGGTTGCTAGGAGTAGTGCAGAATCTGAATTCGGGTCTATGGATAATGGGATCTGTGAATTACTTTGGATCAAGAGAGTAATTTCAGAACTAAAGATGAAGATGAATCTGCCTATGAAATTATATTGTGATAATAAGGCAGCAATTAGTATTGATCATAATCCTGTGCTACATGATCGTACTAAACATATTGAAGTGGACAAACACTTCATAAAAGAGGAGATTGAAGCTGAAATTGTGTGTACACCATTCACATCTACCAAAGAACAAACAACTGATATCTTCACAAAGGGGTTGTTCAAACCAGTGTTTGAACTACTTATAAGCAAGTTGGGAATGTATGATATATACTTACCAACTTGAGGGGAGTGTAGAAAAATGTGACATGTATTTCTATTTTTTAATTAATGTACGTATGTAGCTGTATAGATAAGAGTTTAGAGCTGTTAGACCTCTTTAATTAAGAGATATGCACGCAGTTAGATAAGATCCTATATTTTAGGATCTGTACAGGGAGTTTGTTATTTGTATATATACTCCTACTGGATGGCTCAATAATATTCAAGGAAGATTAATTCCTAAAACCTACATTTTAATATAATTTTCATATTCAAAATAACTTCGTATTAAGAAATACCATGGGTTAAAGTTAATTGTCATTGACTAAGAAAAGTCAAATTGACGAAGTTTTTCGAGACAAAGGGAGTATTGATTATATTTTCAAATTTCAAAAATAACGCATAATTCACCCAATACTTACGTGAAGTCTATAATGCATATGACATATATTACAAACCTATAACTTTATTAGTCTTATTAAAAAAATAGTCTTATTTAAACTACCTATGAAAAATTCAACTCATTATTATATTGTTTAAAAATGATACACCTTTTTTATTCTGTATTTAGTTTATTTCCACTCCCCTTAGGTCATTTTTCTGGCTCCGCCACCCTTATATAGAGGTTTGTCAAAGTGTACACGACCTATTTTAGTATTTTTTAAGAAAATATTGGGCCTAAATGCATAAAACTACGGACATGATACCTACATAAAAAATGGGCCTAAAATTTTTCTTACTTTACTAAAAAACTGTTTTTCTCAATTGCTAATTTGTACGTCAATGTACATTATACGGAGTACGATAGACTAATATGATAATCTTTAACGCTTAAGCTCTTTTATGTAATATACTCCGTATAAGCTTAATACTACTCCGTATTATAGCTTTACGTTTTCAAACAATACATCAAAGGGAAAGTTCTTGAAATAGGACTAAAACAGTTTCAAAATTCCAAAATAGGATTGTCATGTTTTTTATTTCCAAAGTAGGACTAATTACTGCCATGTTTAGAAAATACTGCCATGTTTGAAGTGTGGTACTGCCAAAACATGGCAGTAATTAGTCCTATTTTGGGAATAAAAACATGGCAGTCCTATTTTGGAATTTTCAAACTGTTTTAGTTTTATTTTGGGTAATAGGACTAATTGCCCAATTGAACTGGTCAAAAGTATTTTCATATTTTAATACGGAGTACTATCGTATACAAGTATTAGAATAATAAAAGTTTAATAGTCAAAATAAGACTATCAATTTGTGGGATGGTGTGAGCATGAGTTTCTAAAACACAAGTAGGCAACTGGCTATGAATAATTACTGTCTTACATCTTAAGGCTACGTTAATCGAAGTCCCTTGGATGGCTGTGTTTTGACAATAAGATATACTGCTGTGTTTTTAATCATCACAGGCTATTGAAATTGGGAAACAGTTAGCTAGAAGGCATTTTATCCACCACGTGTTTGGGTAAGAAGTCTGCAGTTTTTTGTGACGCAAACCTTAAACCATAGTACTCTGAGTGTAGGTTTTTAAATTCAATGATATCATTGTATGGCAGGGAAAACGAATTTGAGGATGGAAACAAGCAGTTCTATCGGTTCCTTGAACATGAACCGTTCATTCCCAAATGTTACAATTTCAGGGGATCCACAAATGATAGTGAACCTCGAGCTTCTGCTGCCATGGGTCTCAGGCTTTCCAAGATAATGTCTGCAATACTAGAGAAATTTGCCTCTGAAGATAGGCGCCGTCTTGATTACGTCGGCATTACCAACAGTGAAGAATTTAGGAGGTACGTTAAAGTGGGCAGTACTGTTCCTCCTCATTATGTGAATCATTTTGTAAATGTTGGGTGTGTTTCAGAAAATAAAGAAAATTAAATAAAATAAATTAATTAAATAAAATGACTAGAGAAAAACAAGAAAGGAGATGAAGCAGAATTAGTCAAAGCTCGTGCTACACACGATTTCCTTAAAACGTATTTGTTGCCTCCCACGGTGCTAGGAGCGTTGCAACAATCGTTTCCCAGGATACGATGACTACGAACTAATGTTTGAACACACAAACAAGAGTTCCAGCGAACGAGAACCAAGTACGAGCACAGAAGGAATTTTGCAGAGTAGCTGTAGGTGTTTTTAGCTCAAGAATACATGAGAAAAGTATTGTGCGTTGTGTCAAACCGTGTGTTTGTTGCAAAGCACCTGCCAGCTATTTATAGGAGGATTTGTTGTGTGTTAAATGGGGTGTTAATGGACCTGAACGTTGGACATCAATGACCAGTCCGTTGGGCATTGAATCGTCCATAAACTGTCCATTTAAGGCAGCATTAAAAGAGAAGAACGTTGGGCATTAATTGTTGTAACGGAAGAAATGCGCGACAGAAGACCCCAATAGAACACCCCTTGGAGGGTTTCTGTCCGAAGCCAGCAGAACACCCCTTGGAGGGTTTCTGTCCGAGGCCAACAGAACACCTCTTGGAGGGTTTCTGTCCGAAGCCAGCAGAACGCCCCTTGGAGGGTTTCTGTCCGAGGCCAACAGAACACCTCTTGGAGGGTTTCTGTCCGAAGCCAGCAGAACACCCCTTGGAGGGTTTCTGCCCGAAGCCAAGGTCGCCCGCGCACACGGGTCGCGGTTTTTCTTCTCCGTTTCGGGATTTGATCGGCACCCCCCCCTGCGCGTAAGAGAGAGTCTTTCCCTTTAGGAATCTTAACTCCTTAAAAGAGGCTTCCCTTTATAAGGGGGTGAAAATCCCTTGAGTTTTTCGGTGTGGGATAAAACACACTAGAAACTCATCATTTTTCCCAGTTTTTCCATTTCAACGAGTGAACTTCGAGAATCAATTTCTCATTCACCCGTTATCCGTTTTGAGTGTACCACATATCGAATTGTAGCCCTTAACAAGGACAATCCGAAACCACTTTGACCCGACCCAAATCGGAAGTGGACCCCACTCAAATAATTGCCCCAAAATGACCATTTAATGCAATTTTTAACACATTTTTCCAACAATCTCCCACATGAATGAAAATTGATTTTCGAGACTTAAAAGACACGAAGATAGGAGGACACGTTGTGTTCACCGGATGATCCTTGCATACGGAGAGGTAGGTTTTATCCTTTGAACCTTCCGTTGTAAAGACACGTTTATTTACTGGCTGTCTAGTAGACTCGATGTCCTTGAACTATATTGCCGTCGTGTAAACATTGACTTATCTTTACACAAGAACCTTCCAACTTTGTTCCGTTCTCCTGGGTGTGCCCGTTTTAGCCATGGGTCACCGTCCTGGTTCTGCAAGAGTTTCTAAAGAACTGAGCCTTTACAGTTCTCCTTTGAAGCGGCCCTCTTCTCTCTCTCATAGGTCATTCTTTCACGAGTATCCCGCATACTCTTCAGATGTTATCGAGTAGATCAACATTTTAGAATCATTAAAGCAAACGTTTTTACTAACCTCGTGCGGGAGTCACTGTTTTAATGAGGAGTGGGTAGGAGTCCGGGACCCCCACAGTGACCATCCTTCGCTCTATAATTTAGTTGTCCCTTTTGAACCTAGGACCAACTAGGTTGGGTATACACTATAGAACTTTTCAATTCACGGGCTTTAGTCCCATTCCTCGTGACAACTTCTCCAACAATTCTCTATCCAATGCCTTGGTTAGCGGATTCGCTATGTTATCCTTTGACTTCACGTAGTCAACAGTGATAACACCCGTTGTGATGAGTTGTTTAATGGTGTTATGTCTACGACGAACGTGTCTAGACTTACCATTGTAGAGATTGCTCTGTTCCCTTCCAATTGCCGCTTGACAATCGCAATGTATGCATATTGGAGGGACAGGCTTCTCCCAACTTGGAATATCCTCGAGAAAATGGCGTAGCCATTCAGCCTCTTCAGTGCACTTATCCAAGGCTATTAGCTCAGACTCCATCGTGGATCTAGCTATTAACGTTTGTTTTGAGGATTTCCATGACACGGCTGCACCTCCCAAAGTGAAAACATATCCACTTGTGGACTTAGAGTCCCTTATGTCGGATATCCAACTAGCGTCCCTATACCCCTCAAGTACAGCTGGATATCTTCCATAGTGCAGTCCAAGATTTTGGGTTTTACGTAAATACCTCAAAACCCTTACTATTGCCTTCCAGTGTTCAGCATCGAGGTTGCTAGTATATCTACTCAACTTGTTAACCACAAAGGCAATATCAGGCTTGGTACAACTCATTAGATACATCAAGCTTCCAATAATCCTAGCGTATTCTACTTGAGAAATACACTCTCCACGATTTTTGGTAAGTTGTACGTTTTTATCTAATGGAGTCTTTGCCTCTGTATAATCATCCTTATTAAATTTCGTAAGGATTTTATCAACGTAATGGGATTGGCTTAGCGTAAGACCGTCAGGTTCTCTAATTATTTTAATCCCAAGGATTAAATCGGCCAGCCCCATATCCTTCATGTCAAATTTAGAATTTAAAATGCTTTTGGTAGAATTAATCATTAGATTATTGCTACCCACGATGAGTATATCATCCACGTATAAACATAAAATGACATAGCCATCTACCGTGCTTTTCACATAGACGCATTTGTCACTTTCGTTTATTTTAAACCCATTAATTAACATTGCATGATCGAACTTTTCATGCCACTGTTTAGGGGCTTGTTTCAATCCATACAATGATTTAATTAATTTACACACTTTCCTTTCTTGACCTGGAACACGAAAGCCCTCGGGCTGTTCCATATAGATTTCTTCGTCTATATCGCCATTTAGAAAAGCAGTTTTTACGTCCATTTGATGAACTTCCAATTTCCGCAATGCGGCAATTGCTAGTATCATCCTAATGGAATTTATTCTCGTCACAGGAGAATACGTGTCAAAGTAATCATGGCCCTCACGTTGCTTGTATCCTTTGATTACAAGTCTGGCCTTGTACTTATCGATGGAACCGTAAGGTTTCATTTTCCGTTTAAAATCCACTTGGATCCCAAAGGTTTATTTCCCGGAGGAAGATCAACCAATTCCCATGTGTGATTTTTAAGGATAGAATCCACCTCACTTTTGATGGCTTCTTTCCACATAGGACCTTCAGTAGACGTCACGGCTTCCGTATAAGTCCGTGGTTCATTTTCTACCAAACATTTTAGAAAATCCGGTTCATTTTCTACCATACATGTTAGAATATCCGAGTCAAATTCTACCAGGTAGGTGAGAAAATCCGGTCCGAAGGATTTTTCAACTCTAGCACGTTTGCTACGTCTGGGTTCGGGTTCTTCTCCGGATCCCTCGCTAGTATTTTCCATAGCTACGTCAAATGTTCGTTTTGACGTGCTTGGTCCTTCGTTGGACTTGCATGGAAATACGTCTTCAAAGAATGAAGCATTCCTTGATTCAATTATTGTGTTTTTATGTACATCCGGATTATTCGAATCGTATACTAAAAACCGATACGCACTACTATTTTGTGCATATCCAATAAAAATACAATCTACCGTTTTTGGACCTATTTTTATTTTCTTAGGTGTTGGTACAAGCACCTTAGCAAGACATCCCCACACTTTTAAATATTGATAGGAAGGCCGTCTGCCTTTCCACAACTCGTACGGAGTTTTATCATATTTTTTCCAGGGAACCTTATTTAAAAGGTAATTGCTTGTCAAGATTGCTTCGCCCCACATATTTTGTGGCAAGCCCGAACTTACTATCATCGCATTCATCATATCTTTCAATGTGCGATTCTTTCGTTCGGCAACATCGTTTGATTGAGGTGAATAGGGTGCGGTACGTTCGTGTACTATACTTACACTAGCGCAAAAGTCACCAATTGGTGCTTCATACTCACCACCTCGATCACTCCTAACCGTCTTAATCCTTCGATTAAGTTGGTTTTCCACTTCATTCTTATAAAGAATGAATTTATCGATTGCTTCGTGTTTATTTTTTAATAAATAAACGTAGCTATAGCGTGTGCTATCATCGATAAAGGTAATTAAATATTTATTACGGCCACGTGTTTGTATTGATTTAAAATCACAAACGTCACTATGAATTAATTCAAGTGGTTCCGTTTTTCTTTCAACCGATTTGAAAGACGTTTTCGTTAGTTTTGCCTTTACACAAACTTCACATTTGTGCTTCACATCAATTGTGAATTTAGGAATGTGCTCCATGTTAATTAATCTACGTATAGAATTAAAATTAACATGTCCTAGTCTACCATGCCACACATTGGAAGACTCAAGCAAGTAAGCAGAAGGGATTTTGTTATTATTATTAATAATAGTCATTACATTGAGCTTAAAAAGCCCATCACATGTATATCCCTTGCCCACATACATTCCCGACTTAGACAAAACCAGTTTGTCCGACTCAAAAACCATGCGGAAGCCATGCTTGTTCAACAACGAACCGGAAATCAGGTTTTTGCGTATTTCCGGAACAAACAGTACTTGGTTGAGAGTCAGCTCTTTGCCCGAAGTCATCTTCAGGACCACCTTGCCCACGCATTCAACCGCGGAATGAGCCGAGTTACCCATCCACACTTTCTCACCATTTTATGGCTCAAAAGTTGTGAATAACTCCCGGTTTGAGCAAATGTGCCGGGTTGCACCGGTGTCCACAAACCACTCCTTGGAATTGGATCCAACGAGGTTGACTTCCATAACCACAGCCGCTAGGATGATGTCTTCATCCTTTTGCCCACCTTGCATCAAATTGACTTGGGAGTCTTTCTTCTTCTGTGGTGCCTTGCAATCCGAGGACTTGTGTCCATTCTTGTTGCAATTGAAGCAT